TTCTGATTGATATATCACGTGATATTCGTCGTAAAACTTACCTGCGCCAAATTAGGCATATCTACCTTATATTTTATAACTTTTAATTATATAAATAAATTTGAAATTAATTTTTTAGCATAAATTAAATAATTAGTTTTTTTAGTCAATAAATATTCTTTTTTTACTTTTTTTTTATATTTTAGTAATTCTACTTTTTTTTATTAGCAGTATACTTATAGTATAGATTTAGTTGGCTAGATCTACTATCTAACTATTAGATACTTCATATTTATATAAATAAAAATTTTCTTAATTGGTGATTTGCCTGTCAACCAAAGAGAGATCATAGTGTAATGTGATGCAGTTTATATATAAAAATTAGAGTTTTGCAAATATAGGCTACATTATTTTAAAACTTTTTTTTGTACTAAGTTAATATCTTTAAACTTCTAATTGAAGTTATAGAGCTCATTGAGATAAATCTAATAGTAGTTGAATCGTCAAAATTGGCTTTATAGATCATAAGATATCTTCAAAAAATATTTTGCTAACTATATAAAATTCTTTTTCAACAATACCATATTCACCAATTTGTTTTTTAGAGGTCTTTTTTCGATAACTATTACACAAATTTTTGCTATTAAGTGACATAAAGAATAACAAACAAAACTTCAAATAAAATAGTTTTTTTGCCTCTATATGAGATAAATAAGCAATAAATATTCAAAAAACAGCTACACCAAGCTGTAAAAGGAAGTACTATTACTAGTTGTTGAAGTGTTCAGATATTTTCATGTAGTGAAGAATTAGTTTATTATTAAACAATCGGTTGTATAATAGGTAAGAGTAAATTCAGAAGCAATTTTCAGAAAAACTACCTTTTTAACTTACTTTCATCTAATAATTAAACATATAAATATTAAAATATTCTATATACTTAATTATAAATTGAAAGTAAGTTTAAAAAACTATTGTTGTAAAAACTCGCTTTGTAATAAATTTTAATAACAAGTAATTCTCAATCACGATTAGCTAATTTTGGGATAAAACCAAATCGGTAGATATGCTATTGTTGAAAGTGAATTTTATATAGTCAGCAAAATATTTTTTAAAATATTTCATGATTTACAAGACCGATTTTGATGATTCAACCACCATTAGATTCATCTCAATAAGCTCTACAACTTCAATTAGAAGTTCAAAAGTATTAATTTAGTACAAAAAAAAGTTTTAGAATAATGCAGCCTATATTTGCAAAACCCTAATTTTTATATATAAATCATGTCATATTATACTATAACCTCTCTTTGGTTGACTGGTAAATTACTGATTAATCTATTTTATTATTATAGTAAAATTATAACAAACCAAAATTCTATACTGAATATAACTTAAAAGCAACTTATTTAAATAAATAATTTTTTTTCTATATTATCTATAGTAATCAAACAAATTTATATAACTTTAGACAATAACTAGTCTTTCTATTAATTGGTGATTCACCAGTCAGCCAGTGAGAGATCATAGTGTAATATAATACAGTTTACTTATAGAAATTAGTGTTTTGCAAATGTGGGCTGCATCATTCTAAAACTTTTTTTTGTACTAAGTTAACTACCTTTGGGCTTCTAATTAAAGTTGTAAAGCTCGTTAAGAAGAATTTATTAGTAGTTGAATTGTCAAAATCGGCCTTGTAGATCACAAGATATCTTCGAAAAACATTTCGCTGACTATGTAAAATTCTCTTGGCATTACTATTGTTGAAAAAGAGAATTTTATATAGTCAGCAAAACATTTTTTAAAGATATTTCATGATCTACAAGATTAATTTTGATAATTTAACTACTATTAGATTCCTCTTAACAAGCTATATAACTTCAATTAGAAGCCCAAAGGTGGTTAATTTAGTACAAAAAAAAGTTTTAGAATGATGCAGCCCATATTTGCAAAACCTTAATTTTTTCTGCATCACATTACACTATGACCTCTCACTGGCTGACTGGCGAATCACCAATTAAAATAAAATTAAAAAATTAAACTATAAAAATAATATTTAATGTTTCTCTATCAGATTTATAGTTTATTTTTTTTGGTAGCTCTTTATTTTCATAAAGTATTAAAGCTAAGTATTGAATATTTTTATTAATAATCTTCAAATTTCAGATATTAATCATTTTATTTTGTCCAATCAGTGAACAGAAATATCACATAATCCAATAAGTACAAAATGTATATAATATAGATAAATCAAAAATATTATAACAATTTTTCAAATCAAATAATATTTAAAAGTAATTATATAATAAAAAATATATTTTTTGTACAATAGAATTAAGTATATATAGTCAACTCTCTCTATTCTAAATAGTCTATTCTTGTATATAAAAATAACAAAAAGTTTAATTTTCAAAGAGTTACTGTGTTGCTAATCTGAATTTTATAATCAAATTTACAAATATTCTGAAGTTTTATTAAGGGTTCAGATTATCCAGATCTAGATTTAGAAGAGCTAACTATATTTTGCATATTATATAACCTCAAATAAGATATAAGATAATATATGCAGAGCAAATATTATATAATTAATTTATATAAAAATAATATAATATTAATATTTACTACTATATAAGAGTAACATTAAATTTAATAAAAAATTTTTATATAGCAATATTCCAAAAAGTGCCATAAGTATCAATTGGTACTAAAACAGTTTGGGTTATATCATAGTATGCATACTCTAGTATTCTGATTGATATAAAACATAAAAAAATAATAAATAAAATAAAAATAGTAAATTCAAACAAAATATTTATTAAGATACTTATTGTAGTATATATGCAATTAATAATCAAAGCTTTACTCCTATACGATCTTATAATTAGAATATAGCAACCCAAAGACACTAACCTAAAAAGTAAAATAATTAAGATAGTTAAAAATTAAGTTAATAAAACTAAAAATAGCAACCCTTAAATAAAGCTAATAGTGAAATAGGTAGGTCTTAAATAAGGCTATATTAAAGCACATGAAGATGAAATATGAATTTTAGATTTGGAACCAAACTTATAAAAAAATAGTTAGAAGGAAATCAGATTCATAATACTCATTATTATTTTAGCCAAAGTCTTGATCAAAATAATAGAATATATTTTTTTGAATAAAAAAAATATATATTTGAAATATTTATAAAGAAATATATATTTAAATTAATATATCAAATATATCTCATTGTATTAATTATTAAAAAAATAAAATAAAATTAAAAAAAAACCTCATATAAACTATAAATAAAATCTTTTTTGAATTAGTTTCGAGATTAGACATAGTGACAAGTCGTATATTTCTAACTTTCTATAAAAAATAAAAAAATGCTGCTTCTTTCCAAAGAAAAAAGAAAAGCTAAAAATTAGGTTCGAAATGTTGAAGGATAGTATAATACCAAAAAAAATAGATTTACTATATATTTCTAAAAATAAGCTACCCTTTTTTGGATGATTTTGAACACAAAAAATCAGTACAAGTCACTCTCATTATAGTAAAGTGATCCGTTCCATTAATGAAAATTTTTAAAAAATTCATTATATCAAGAGTTTTATTAGTAAATTCACTATATCGAGAGAATTTTATATAAACTGGCTTTAGCTTAACTTCACTATATCGGGATTTTAATTAGTCTTCACTATATCGAGAGTTCACTATAATGAGAGTGACTTGTAGTAGCTTATTTTTGGATATAATCGATTTTTGCCAAATTCCGAAAAATTTTATTAAATAAATCGATGATGCGTATTAAGTAAAGTTTGTTCAGGAGAAGAAAATACACATATTCTGAAATTTTCAAGTAAATAAGTTAACTTTTTATTAATTGGCTTTTGAATTTTATGTTCAACGAATATGAATTTCAAAGAAATTTTAAAATATTCATCAAACGTAACATGCAAAAATGTATTAATAAAAAGTTATTCTATTTGAATGAAACTTTCAGGATATATGTATTTTGATCTTCTAAACAACTTTTATTTAATAAGCTATGTTAAGTTACTTAGTAAAATTCCGACTTTACTATAGAGTAACTACTGATGATCGTATAGTAGCTTATTTTCGGGTATAAGATATTTTTATGTTTTTCTTTTAAAAAAGGCAAGTAGCTTATTATTGGATGTAGCTTATTTTCAGAAATATACGATAACTGATCAAGAAGACATGATAAATAAATTTAATAAGCTATATAATAGTGACATATTGAAGGTGAACTGAATGTTAGCAATGAAAACAGAGATGAGAAAAATGGTAGCTGGAATGAATATAATAATAAATTAGATATTAGTGATGAAGAATGGGGAGATGAGGATAATAGTAGATGGGATTATATAAAGAGTAAAATTAAAGAACTTAACTTGGTATAGAAAAATGAAAGTCAATTTGAAAAAACAAAACAGGGCCTATATATGAAAGGCAAGATACCCAAGTCAACTTATTATGATAAGTACAGACCAAATAGTATTTTTACTAAAGCAGCAGTTAAAACAAAAAAAATTACTAGCTTTTTTACAAATTCACAACCATCAAACCCAAACAACTTAGAAGAAATCTCTGATGACTCAGATAGTAAACCTAACTCATATATCATTACAATAAATAAAAGGCGAATGATTTAAAAAAGCAATTAGAACAAAACTATCAGTTAAAGAATACAATTATAAAAAGGCTATATTTGAATATCTTATTTTATTAAGTGAAAATAATGAACATAGAAAAATCAAAGCTAGCTTGAATATTGTTTATAAGGTCTTTATTGATAGTAATATGTGGAAAGCTTGAAAAA